GCAGAAACGACGTTCAAGAAAGAGCAAGTACGTGCCTTTGCCATCTGCGCTGTTGAGAAATTTAAGAAAGAAGACTATAAGAGCAACAGTGCTGCGGGAGAAATACAAGAGGGACCTGCTAAGCTTGAAAAAAAAAGTTGTCATCAGATCCAAGCAATGCACTGTTGAGCGAGGTTTTAGCTGAACTTCCACCACTGCAGCAACTTGCATTTCGGACAGCACTGCAGTCGATGAAAGCGAAATCTTCAAGAGGTGTGCGGTATGACTGTGGGTGGCTGCTGAGTTGCCTTCTCTTGAAGATTTCAAGCCCACGTGTGTACCGCTTGATGTCAAGAATGAAAATCCTCCCTCTTCCAACTTCGACTAGGCTCCGACAAATAATAAGAGGAATGCCTTGTGAGTTTGGCTTTAATAAGCTCTCCCTTTCCAGCATAGGGGCTTTCATGAAGACTATGAAAGGAGTCCAGTGTTACGGCACACTAGTAATAGATGAAATGAAGGTACGCCAAGCCGTAGCTTTCAACCGTCAAACATACAAGATTGATGGGTTCGTAAATTACGGAGACGGTGAAGTTTCAGCAGCTACTGCTGATCATGCATTGGTTGCAATGTTTGTGCCTCTATTCCACTCATGGGTTCAACCGATTGCAAGTTTTGCAACAAAAAACGCAGCCCCCGGACACGTGCTCGCCAAAATAGTTCTTGATGCAATCGTGCAGCTACGCAAACACAACGCCATAGTCGTCGCAGTAATCAGTGATGGCGCCAGCACGAACAAAGCAATGTGGTCCAACTTTGGCATATCAGGAAAGCTTCACACAGCAAACCACAAAGTTCAGCACCCATGCGAGCCAAATCAAAGCCTCTACTTCCTTTGCGATGTACCCCACATTGTCAAATGCATTAGAAACCATCTTCTTCGACACAAATATGGCATGGTAAGTACCACGTACAGTACAATATCGCAATAAATAGTGTCGCGGTGCCAATCAAAATACATTTTCTTCGCAGCACTACATACGACTGACGGACTTTTTTTTTCCCTCTCTTCTTCTTGCTCATAGATTGGTGAACATCGCATAAACTATGACCACTACCGAGTTTTGCAAGAAGTAGACGGCAAAGAGCAACTCCGCATTGTTCCGAAGCTTACCGCTGAACACGTCTGCCCTGACAACATGAGAAAAATGAGTGTGAAGCTCGCAGTACAGGTAAGATTACGAAAAGCTGCTTTTGAAAGAACTTATAGCTTACCTGATTATTTAGGCAAATTCTTCACATGTGAAACACAAACTTAACTGGTACTGTGAAGTGTTCTCCTTAAGTCTTTTTGCGATTAATAAAATGCCCCTATACGTTTTCTGTCCCCTAGCTGCTCAGCCGAAGTACGGCTATCGGCCTTGATGTGTACCGGAGACTCAAGCAAGATGGCCTGGAAGACTGCGAGGGGACAGCCGCGTTTACCCGCATCATAAATGACCTTTTTGATGCCCTGAACATCAAGCTTCCTCGTTTTGGGATAAGGAGCACATCCAAGGAAATTAAGGCAAGGGCGATAAAATGTGCTACTTTTGAAGAACATTCGCAATAGGTAATGTTAATCAAGAACTGAGGCACTGGGCATATAAATAAAATACAAAACGCCGACAACATTTACACCAACAAAAGCCTAGTTTAAGTAGACATTTATTTTGTAATTGAAGGAAGGTATTATTGAAAGAAAGACGACGAATAAATGTCTTGGAACTTAGAACTTCTCCTTCCAGATAACTGAAATAAACGTCGATGAGAAGGCGACACGCCGCAAGCGTGATTTCAAGTATTACCAGCTTCCATTTTCATTCAGTGGCACACATGTTTCATTAAAAAATCAGGTTAAAAATAACTTTATGCCTTTCTTCAAAGGTCCCTTTTTTTATAGGCGTCGACGTTTGCATGTAAGAGCTAGCTTGCACAAAAAGTAATGTCTAACATAAACTTTTCCCTTTTCTAGATCATCCAAGATTTCATGATTATCTTGGACTTGACAGAGAGAAACCACGTTGAGAAAGGAACAGCCATGTTCGCATCTCAAGTAACAATGGAGTCTCTAAGGGTGACTTTGTCATCTATCTTGGAACTAACAAATGACCTCCTTGCTAAAGGTGCACGCTACGTGCTCACAGGCAAGCTTAATCAAGACCCCTTGGAGGTGAGATTAGCATAATTCCATAAAACTGCGCACTTACTTCATTGCATGGAAAATAAACAAAACGGTTATGAGGAAGCATAGCGTGGTTTTAAACAGTCGTCATATCTCTATGTGAGATGTGCAATTCCCGCCTGAGACTTGCACTCTATAAATCCTCTTTATGCATTCCATACGCCATGCGTACTTTGACTTCTGAAAGAGATACATACGGTGAACTGACGTACGGCTTTATTACTACCATTACAGAGGTTCTTCGGAATCACCAGGAGCTTTGGAGGTGACGAAGACCATCCGACGATCCTGAGCTTTTCCCATATCTACAGGTTGCTGAGCCTGTACACACCTGTCAAGGCTTCGATTGCAGGCAATGTCCAAGAGGAGCCAACCTTAATACTAGCCACAGTGCAAGAGACGATGAAGCAAGGGAAGAAGCAGCAGCTGGCAACGTATGAAAAGTTGCGTGAGACAATCAGCGCAAAGATTTCCGAGGTTTGCTTGCCTGGAATAAGTTCAGCATCCCACTCGGGACCGACACCGCTTCCGGACCACGGATATGCTTTGCCAGCAGTACAGGAGTGCGTCGTATATTACCTCTGCGGCTACATTGTACATTCTTTTCTGAAGCACGTCAACTGCGCTGCTTGCATAAGCAGCATCCAGTCAACAAACACTAAATTCCCCGCTTCACTACTGACATTGGCAAGAGAATTCAGGAACGGAAGCCTCAAGCATCCCTCTACAGAACTTTACACAATGTTGAAACGCGTCGAAGAAAAACTGTCTCTCGTGCTAGGAGAAAACCATCTGTGCGCCGACATGTTTTGGGATGCGCTGGATGTCATCAAAGACTGCGATGTTCCAAGCGTTGGTTGTTCAGTTCATAAGGACATCCTGACATCGGAGATTGTACACTCATACGTTGTTTTGAGAATGCACTTTTTTACGAGAGATGTTTGTAAGAAGCTGAGTGCTTCTGGCAGGGTGTCTTCTACAAAAAAGAAAGCCAAACTTCTCTAGACTACGCACCAATAAACTACGCAGTGATTTAACATAGAAATGTTGCCAAGTAAAAAAAAAAACAGGAACTTGAACAATGTGTTGGTGGCTTTTCTTACAGTTATTGCACAGCAACATGCACAGATCTCAGTGAATTAAGGGCTGTAATGAGGACACGGGAACATCGGAACAGCATTAAATAACCTAGCAGGAGTCCCACGTAGAACACAGCCAGCTTACCGGCGACGCATGTCATTGGTTCGAAATTTGGGTATTCGAGTGTCAACTAAAATGACGCTGTTCTTTTTAATTCGATTGCATTCCTCCCTTCATGAAGAGGTGACGAAGAGATGAAGGAGCTTCTCCAAGCTCCTTAATTCATATCCACTCGATTGGCATTCCGTGTTCCTAGTCATGCACATTCGATACATTTAATTGTCAATCGGAAAAACAATCTTTACACTTAATAAAACTTCTAGGCGCGTAAAACTTTTTTTTCGCCTTTTGATTTTTTTTTTTTTTTTTTTTTTTTTTTTTTTTTTTTTTTTAAGCAAGTGATCTTATCTTCTTTCTAACATATATATGTGTGTCGTAGTAGTAATAAATCAGTTGAAAGTCTGCGCTCGTCCTCGTCTCTTGTGTTAGTTGTCTGAAGTTTTACGCGCCTAGAAGTTTTATATGGATTACCAACTAGCCCAATCCCACACTTTACTTAAGTACACTTAATAAAATAGTTGAATTTGCACAATTTAAAAACTGTATCTACTTACAAACGGTATGCATTTAAAAAATACAAGCCGACTGTTACGAACCATTCTGTTAAAATTTGTTTGTAACTACGTGTTTCTTCTGCAAAAGATTGCTGTGCTGGGAACCAAAAAAAAAAAAGTGAGTTGTCTCGTAAGATATACATCATCGTATTATTCTCCCTGACAAGCCACACAGATAACGCACCGCAGCGTAAATGCAGCGGCATTGTATACAATAAAAACATGCGCAAGTTTTCAGAACTCGCGACTGTTTCATTTAGAACGCTTACTGTCGCTTTCAAATAAGAGCATGCTTTTATAGAAAACGCTCAATGTAAGGACTGCACGAGCAATGCGATCTCAAAAAAATTTTCAGGAAATTTCAGTTTATGCTCTCGGAGGCACCTATTCATTAGGCAAGCACAAGCTCATCACATCGAAACACCTGCGGAATGCAGTCAGCACCATCAGCACGTGGCAAAAAGAACCACTCAGACTTCGTTCAGAGCTCCAAGCTGTGTCCACCTTCATCTATGCAGTGGTTGTAGCAGGAAGCTCTCAATATGCATCCGCTAACAAGATTCCTTGAGATATGAAGTGCTCCAAAAACGCTGCGCCGTCCTTCGGAGACGGGGCGCGGAACAGACGACGAGCAGACGACGCACGAAGCTCGTCACATGACCAGGTCGCAAAGCGATCGCAGCGCCCCCGCGTTTTGGGAGACTGTGAGCGGCCACGCCGCTTCCGTGGCGAGCCCATGCAGTTTCCCAACTGGCTCCATCCAGTAACGTTGCTCCCGGCCAAGCAAAGACCACGGATAAATAACCACCGCCCGGTAAAGATCCTCACAAGCTAGTGAGGAACTTTAGACCTTTCGTTCCCACCACCTAAACGTCCCCCAAAAAATGTCCAACACGGCGATTCTGTCGCCGTCTATTCATACGTTTTCAGCCAAGTCAAGCCGGTTTTAAGCGGCTATTGGGTGAACCGAACCGTTTTGCCTCGAAAAGGTTCGTGCCACCCGGTGGCAGCAAACGCGGCCTTTGGCAAGGAAAAGAAGAGCGCAGATGAGAGAGGCGTTGCCCCCTGGTTGCCCCACGGAGGGGAGTGTGCGGAGCAGTCGAGCGAGGTGGGAAGGAAGTGGCCCCAACCTGATTGATGACGATCACGGAAAAAGAAGGCGGATACCGAGTGGGTTTGACGCGGATCGAAGATCCAATTGTTAATTGAGTTGTACCAGTGCATCAAATAGAACGAACATGGGACGAGTTCCTGCGTTTAAGCTCTGCGCTTCACTGATGAAATCAGACACTCGAACGTAGTGCTACCGGGAGTGCCGAACGTTTTCGCGGTCTCAGGTAAGCAGACAGACTTGCTAAGCCTAACGTTTTTTTTGTAATTTTTCTTTTTAGGCGCTTCTCAGCTATTTCACAATTGTTAGTTCGTACAACCTAATGTCAAAGGTACGACAATAACGCATTTGCGCATGATCATATAATGTTTGTTGGGCAGTCTGTCGCTTGTGCTCGAAATCGGCAGCTGAAACTGAGGTGACATGGTTGAGAGCGAAACAGCTTTGATGGGGGTTTCTCCAGCCCACGGGTCGGGATCAACAAGTGATGCTGGGCATATTCTTGATCCTTGCTTCCACAGGCAATGAGACCGTCTGCTGCAAGAGTGCGCAAGTCATGATATTGATCGATTTGATGAGTTCTCTATGGCGATAATTACACGCCCACTAATGTTTTGAAAATGTGTGTATACAAACTTCACAGGTATCGCAGCTGTGAAGCCATGGCAACAGACACTAGTGACATCGCCAAGCAAGGCTACGTTCGAGTTCGCAGTCGTAACATCGGCGTAAGTAGGAGTTGACCGGCGTGTTTTGAATGTGTCTTAGGCGACGAAAGAATGTTTGACGAGCATTCGCAGTATTATGCGGAGCACGCGTGTTGGGTATCCGGGGCTGTACGATGGCGTTCAGTGAAGCGTTTATTTACCCATATTAAACGAGTGCCAGGCGATCTTCTTTTTCACATGTGCATTTTTGTTACGTTTGTGAATATTACATTACCTTGGTTTGTTATATCCTAATTATTTGGACACCCCGTCAAAATCTACGTGATTGTGGGTATTTTGTTATATGCTTGGCTTGAACAGTGCTAGTCTGTTTTTAATTTTTGACTGAAATGGTTCAAATAAACAAAGAAGCATCACAGTTATATATGCATATTGAAATGTGTGTCCACTTGAAGTAACTCTGCAAGCTTCCGATTACTTTGCTGTGATGAGTTATATTGTGACCATAAGGGTATTGTGAACTACTGATGGCACATTACTGTGCATAAATTGGCATCCACCCGTCACTTTGCTTTTGTAAAACAGCCAGGCTGGTAACGCTTGAGGTAATGAGGTTACAGCTATCTAAAGTTTGCACTACACGAACTGAGAAAGAGGAAGGAGTTAAAATTTCAAATAAGCATGGATCCTCTATGGTTATTATTTAATTCCATGCTGGATCTGTATTATATCATAAGTCATCCTCCCTATAGTTACAGACAGTTTAAAATTAGGTGCGATAATTTACTTCATCATAAAGTGCCTATTAACTGATTTGTTGTGTGACTTGAACTGCTCAGTTTTGGACCCTTGGACTAGTTTGACAATGTTTTGTTTATGTTATCCTTGTAGCTTTGCATGTTGGTGAGGGGCATGGGTTATCATTTTTGGTGTAACTGCACAATTTGTGAAATTTTGTAACAGTTGTGCTCATGTGGGTGTAGACAACTGCTACTTGTGCCAGCTCTGCGAGATTCACTCTTTTTGTAGTAGTATGTGGGGTCTAACGTCCCAAAACCACCATATGATTATAAGAGACGCTGTAGAAGAGTGCTTTGGAAATTCCGACCACCTGGGGTTCTTCAACATACACCCAAATCTGAGCACACAGATCTACAGCATTTCCGCCTCCATCGAAAATGCAGCCGCCACAGCCAGGATTCGATCCCACGACCTGCGGGTCAGCAGCCGAGTGCCTTAGCCACGAGACCACCGCGGTGGGGAGATTCACTTTTTTTGGAAGGGGCAAAGTTTTGGCGTGTTGGTAGTTCATCATACTTCATAAACCACAGCATTGTAATTGAACATCAGACAAGATGAAGATAGCAGAAGCACTTTGCAATAAGCACTTGTCCTGTGTTAAGTTATTGTGCTATGGTACGATCATTATTTTCATTTGCTTGCATGGCCTTGTAATTTTGGCATAACTTCTTTATTGGTCTTGTAACCACACGCCAAATACGGACAGATTTAATTCTGTCTAGTTTGTGGTTTCTTAGTTGGCCTGCAAGTATTGACCAAAGACAACAACCACTGCCACCTAGTAGTTTCCTATCTAGGTGTTTGCAACATAATTTGGCATTCTTCCATGAGAAGATGAGCCGAATGAACAGCTGCTCTAAAACTGTTTGCCTTTTGTCTGTAGTGTAGAGCAACATTTCCTGATAAGTCAATAAAATAACCTTCACTATATAGTTATTATTGAGCTGCTCCAAGTTATAGTAAATTTTCCTTGTTCAAAGCACCTTTTCTCCTGCTCTAAACATCGCTCCAAATCCTAAATTAGCTGGACTTTCACTAGATTGTGCATATTATTTGCTGATTATTCAGTCTTGGCAAAGAGTGTGTTAAATATTAGCATTACACCAAATTAATATCAGTAACATAATGGTAACTAATATTCATTCATAAAAGTGGCTTACTGTTGAATATTAGCTAATGTGCTTTTAAAAGGGCTCATTAATACTAAAGTACAATATCAACTGAAAGTTCATTCCGCACTTTCATTTAATTGACTACTAAAATTTGAAGAACAATCACGAATTCTGACTTAGTGCTGATCATCAATGCACTGAGATAAGTTGGGTGCTTATAACATCCATTTTTAAAGTAGAATAGTGTAATGATGTGGCTTGTGAAAAGAACGAAGCATGAGAAATATAACTCTTGACCATTGACGGAAGACCTAGACTTGGTTTAATTAAAAGGGGCACTCTCTGCATGGTTGTAGTTCCAAAGAATTAAACATAATGATCTATTATAAATTAGCTCATGGTAATTTGTTGGAATTTCTTAAAAGGAATCCTACTTATCTGTAGAATCTTGGAATATTTTTTACCTCGGCAGGATTTAGTAGAGTAGAAAAAGCTATATGAGATTAATAATCAGACCAGCACTAATATCCTAGTACGTAGTTGACTTCCTTGTCTTTTTGAACATATTTAATTTAACATGCATGTTCTGCACAAGAGCATGTTCATTTCATTGTCAAGATCGGTGAAAAAAGAAGTATGAAAATTGATGCAGGCTAACAAAAAGTTACTGATCTTACAAAATAAAAGTCAACTAGTAAAAAGAAAAAAATGGATGTGGCCTTTCACATTTTGCTTGCAAAGTTGTCTATGCTACTTGCAGTTTAAATGCAGTTTTCAATAATCAGTAGTTGAAGCAGTCGTAGATTGTGACCTTTTCACGACAAGCTAGAGCTGCACTTTAGGGGAAATGTTAAATGTTTTTGTAGCACTGGTAGCACCATGTACTGTTTGTTTTCAATCTTGCCTGTCACAAAAGGGGCGAAAGTGAAAGAAAAATTAGTACACACTAATGATAATTATTGCCTATATTTTTGCATCAACAGAAAGCTATTACCTGACCGTTGCAATCTTAGCGTCCTTTAGTTCATCTCACTGTCTCAAGATAGCACCTTCAATGCTGGTTTATACCGCCCGACCAAGCACATCTGATGTGGAGGGTGCCAGAAATTTGTGTAAACTATTGGACAGTGCAGTTACAGTGCTATTCATTAAAGTTTTATGAGATTTCAAATAATGAGTTCTTTGCAGGCCCCGCCGCGTTGGTCTAGTGGCTAAGGTACTAGGCTGCTGACCCGCATCGCGGGATCGAATACCGGCTGCGGCGGCTGCAATTCCGATGGAGGCGGAAATGTTGTAGGCCCGTGTGCTCAGATTTGGGTGCACGTTAGAGAACCTCCGGAGGTCAAAATTTCTGGAGCCTTTCACTACGGCGTCTCTCATAATCATATGGTGGTTTTGGGACGTTAAACCCCACATATCAATCAATCAGACTTCTTTGCGGTTTTTTAAAGCATGAAACACATTTGAAGTAAAGAAAAAGAATATATATAAGTGTAAGTTGTGTGGCCATCTGCCTCACATCTGCTACAGAAAATTTCCGGTGTGCATTGCTACTGTGAGCATGAAAATTGACTTCTTTCTGAAGCAAGTTAATATATCAAATACTTGAAGATCTTACCGCTGCTGATGTATCACAGCCTGCCCCGCCGCAGTGGTCTAGTGGCTAAGGTACTCGGCTGCTGACCCGCAGGTCGCGGGTTCAAATCCCGGCTGCGGCGGCTGCATTTCCGATGGAGGCGGAAATGTCGTAGGCCCGTGTGCTCAGATTTGGATGCACGTTAAAGAACCCCAGGTGGTCGGAATTTCCAGAGCTTTCCACTACGGGGTTTCTCATAATCATATGGTGGTTTTGGGACGTTAAACCCCACATATCAATCAATGATGTATCACCGCCTAATGAAAGCACAAGTAGAAAATAACCATCTATGCAGTGCTTTTATGAGGTCAGCCTAAAGTAGTGTCATATTTTGTGCTTATTTTCCTTATTATTGTGAAATCATCTGTAAATAAGTGTATCTCAGATGTTATTGCTATATGTTAGGTATTAATATAGAAAAGGAATATAAAAGAAGTCCCAGGATGTGAGATTAATATAGAAAAAGAATATAAAAAAAGTTCCAGGATGTGAGGCGGTTGGCAATTTCAGCTGCCACACTAGCTTATACTGTGAATTGAGTTATGACATAAAATAAGGCTTTTGTTGTTCCACTTGTGACACAATGTGATGGCATTGAATTATGCATGGTATATTGCACAGATTATGCTTTAGTACTTTTTTTTTATCTCTCATATCTATCGTATGAACTACCAAAATGTAGTTGCAACCTTTGGTGTGAAACATAGCTTTTAAAAGATATGGCCTGGTGGGATCATTGTGTATTTTTGCACATGGTAAATCTAGGTGATGGAATGTGCAAAGCTCTAAAGTAGTTTTGGCTGTGGCTGTAGGTGTGGCAGCGGCGGTGGCTTGTGCTGCGCAAGGCAACTGGGACAACGGCATGTCGTCTAGAGAAGTACCTAGAGGAAAAGCATGCCCGTACCCACACTGGACAGAAAGTAGTACTCCTCACACCAGCCACCAGCATCACCCGACTGCCATCAAGTGTTCGGAAGCATGCCTTCTCTATCTGCTTTCAAGATGGATCAGTCAAATCAGTGGCATGCGATTCTGGTGAGAATTCAGGCATGGATCGAGTGTCCATTGTATCTAGCTGCATTTCTAGACCAACATCGCAGTCAAAATAGGAATAAATATCTCTGGCCTGAACAGCATATATTCCCTGCTGGAAATATAAAGAGCATCTAGGAGGCCATAAGCAGCTTTTTTGTGTTTAAATTACTGTCACTGAGTAGTGTTCAGTGACAGAGGGCAGTATATATAAAACTGATGTCCATGCTTTTGTTGCAGTGAAAGGGATGTTGCTTAATAAGATTTTTTTATTGTAAAGACAAAACCAGCTTTACCACGGTGGTGTGTTAACTGTTTTGCTGCTAGAAGTGCAAGTAATAGCTTTGATGTTCTCTGTGGCAGATTGTACTAGGCCCTCGCACAGCAAAAGCCCAGTTCTACAGCAAAGGAATGTCTGGAACAATTGAAAAATGCCAGCAATTCATGACACAAAGCAAATGGTAGTGTGAAACTAGCCCAAAAGTTGGCTTTGAATGTGCCTGTTCTGATTTGACAACTAGAATGAACTACTTGAACTACTCAAGCACCATGAGATGCCCTCGCTTCCCCCTCCCCCTCGTTTTTCGATGCAAAAATAATCACGAAAATGAGAAGTGTCGAAGAAAATCGTCAATACCGTAACGTCTTGTTACTTCATATAGCTGCTCCAAGTTCACTTTTTTTGATACTGTGTTGAAGTTTGACTTAATTGTGCAGTATCCTGATGTTGATACTCATAACTGGTTGAATTAGGAGAAAAAATTGTAAGTAGACATTGAGTACTTTCTTTCTACTTGTAGTTTAACTCACATCTCAACTACTATTAGAAAAGCTTGTTAGTTTCCACGAAATGTTAAAATTAAAGCACAGCCAATTACATAAGTAATTTCTTAAATAGTTTTTTGTCTTGATGTATAAAGGTTGAACATTCTGCAAAGGCTTTATATCAAGTGTGAAGACGCAAAGCATGCATCTATGGCAGTTGCTAGGGTATTGGAGCTAGAGGAGTGCTATCATGAGCTCTGGAGATAATTCTAGGTTGTAGATTTGTAGGCTGGCTACATTATATGTTTTATTGTGCCAAAAGCTAGTATTTTATAATCTTACTAGCAGCTAAAGTGTAAAACTGGCCCAGCTTTGTCATATAATTATATTGTCATATGCGTTGTTTCAGATCTGGAGGCAGACACATGGGTGAAGTTGATGGTTCAGGAATGCCTTGAACCACAGTCTGGGCTCTCGGCTGGGGAACCAGATATATTAAGTCCAGGGATTCAGAAAGAGCTCCAAGGTATGCACTGTGTTTGCTTTTAATCATTTCTTGAAGGTGCTGGCTGAATGAAAGTGTGTGAAAATTGTCTGGCATAGTTTCGGCACATTACCCACTCACCAAAGCTCCAAAGAGGATTATCTTTGAAGCTTTGGCTGGTGAGAGCCAATTTGTGTGAATGTCTTATGTTTCACTTAAAAAAAAGAATATCTTACCTGGTCGACCAGCGCAAACTTGTCGCGCGGGCCCGGCAGGCGGTCCAGGCCAGAGGGTTCCTGGAATAAGGAACCCTGCCACGTTCACTCACTGGCCACCTAATAAACTTTTTTTCTCTCTCTCTCTGTCAGCTTGGCCATTTCACTTTGGATTTTTTGTTAACAAAGTGCAGTAAACCTCATTAGTAAGTGCCGAACAGGGTTGATACACAACTGTGTATTGGCTGAAAACTACGAACTTGTCTGTTTACATGCCTTGCTGCATATTTAATGCAGTTAATCACTACAATGTTTGTAATAGGCATTTTCAGCTCTTTTGCACAAGAATAGATAGGCAATATGAAGCAGTCTTTTGAAAGAACAGTGCTGGTAACTGGCACATAGCAGAATGTATTGAATTATGGTGGTGCGTGCACATTGTGCTTTGTGATAACTAGCCTGTACTTTTAAAAGTGAGAACCTGGCACTGTGGGTTGCCATCATCTCACATATTTTTTTAATCATGTTGGCTTCTAATCAATACCCTTCATCTGGCCACATTGTAAATTTTGGTTTTCCACTGGAAGTATAAAGGAATGTTTTACTGAAATAATTATTTGGTGCATGCTACAAATGGATGTTTCTTCTGTTAGGTGCAGGAATAGTGACATTTATGAGCAGACATATTTATGCGAATTGATGCTGGCTTAGATTTAGTCAAGTGTTTGATGGCACAATGCTGTCATTTTCTGGTGCATGATGTAGGGATAATAGGTGTCTCTGACACGTCGTAATAGCGGCTGTCATTCACACTGTACAACTCGGGAAGAGATTTATATTTTTGCCATGGATTTCTTTTAAATGGTCTAGTTTTGTTATTTTTTTCAGTAAAGTTCTCTTGGTATTTATATAGCCTTTGTCATGGTTGTTTATAATGATCTTGACATTTTAATTCAAGACGGTTTAGTTTTGGTTCACCAACATAATTTTGATTAAGGAAAAACAGTTCTGCACAAACCTGCAAGGTAGAGTTAGGTTCATAAAAGGCGAGAAATTTGTCTTCCAACCATTTGCCGCACAATTCTACAAAGGAAATCCACATAAATTTTTTTTTCTTGGAAAGAAAGCTCTGTTCAAAAAATCCTTATTGTTGATTATGGTTAGCAAGAAATAGTTTCAATGTTTTTGTATAACTTGCATGTTTCAACACCTTTATCTGTTTCAACTTTAACACTTTGTTCAGCACAAGCTGTCAGGTTTTCCTCATCGAGTATTGTTCATAGAAAATCACAGCAGGAAGCGGAAACTCATTTTATATCCTAGAAAACACTCAAGCATATGTGCTGCTGTTAATAGAATCTGTAACCTTTAAAAGCATTACATAATATCGTCTGCTTCTACTTGCTCATGGCTGGTTGCAAAATGATCGAAGCAGCCCTTGTATACTAGCGCAGTATCCAAGCAGCATGTGCATGTTTTACACATTTTGTGTTTTAGCCACCTTTTAGCAGCATTATTTTAGGGCTTCACTTAAAGCCTCAGATGTTCTGTATTTCTCATGTACAGTTAAACCTGCTTATAACAAATCTCCATATAACGAATTCCTCAATATAACAAACTTTATCTATTCCCCACCGTTGCTCCATAGAAGCACATGTATTTGCGACTTCTATTTAACAAAGTAACAGGGAGACAACCTTGATATAACGAATTTTCGCCATGGACAATCGAGGAATTTCGCTGTACATTTTAGCATTTCGGTACAAGCATGTATCTTCTGCGGCAGCCCCGTTGCCGACCCGATGTAGCGGCGGCGGCGCGCAGGGCGCACCAGGCGAGAGTGAGGCGAGCAGGGGGGGCCTACACCTCATGACCCGGCGTTGCCTCTGTTCTCGCCACTTCGGGCGCATGCGCGGAGGTGCCCTCCCCTCAAAACAAAACAAAAAAAAACTACTTTTGCACGTTGGCAGTGCGGCGCTTCTAGTTAGCGTCACATATATGGGGCCGCGTTGCATAGGGAGGGTGCTTTACCGAATAGTTTTCCGCGGTGTCTGTGTCATTGCCTCACCATTTTAGCGCTGTGCGCGCGTTCTTAGTTTCACTGCGCGCACATGTTGTGGCTCCCGACAACTTTCAGCTTTGCTCTTTTTTTTTTATTGCGATAGCAATTATATGGACAGTCTCGGCTGGTTTATTGCCATCGCCGCCGTCATTCGCCGTATATGTATTAGTGTCTATATATATGAAAACTCAAGAAAAAAAAAAGCCGCCCGCGCTCGGTGCCCAGCTTGTCACGATGCGCCAACGCGCGCTTATCTCCTACGCGTACTTTGCCCCATGAATGTGGGGGGGGGGGGGGGGGTAGATGGTTTGTGCGCGTGCACTTATGCTTCGGTAGGAAAATCATCGAGAATCGCGAGCCTTCGACTTTGACCGGATTGCCGGGCGCGCAACGATCACTTCGCTTGTTGGACTGGCGCCGTTTGCGAAGAGTGCACTTTTCAAACGACTGGGGCACTTATTAGTTCGCACTCATATCTGTACCTGTGATTACGTTTCGTGCCTCGTTTTTGTTTAAACAGCGTATTAAGTGTCGAGTGGTAAATGTTAGTTCTCTCTCGTTTTGTGTATGTTGTTTTCGTGCATCGTCTTGTGCGTGGGCAGCGCGCTGCACGTTTCGATCTGCTTTCCATTCTGAGCGTTTCGTTCCAAGTTGTTGCTATCGCATTGATTGCTTGGTCCTTGCGGCAAAGCTGCGACTTATCTTTCCTTAATTTCGGACAATCGTGTTGTCACAACCGTGGGCATGTCAGATTAGGCACTGATGGAAACTCTCGGAGACCACGGTGATGACGGATCTTCGGAGGTTGACTCGTCACGCGCTTCTGTCTTGCGCCGCGCCGCGAGTTCGCAGGCTGGTAGCCTTCGCATTTAGCCTATTAGTTCTGGCAACACGGCAGTGCGTTGAATGCAATGCAATGAATGCGATAATAAAAAAATAATGTTATGAGAAGTAAAGCTGGCAGCCAACTCTTTTGGATCCGATATCGCGGAACTCCTGCAAAACGCTGGTGTTAGCAAATACGGCCGCTCCAGGGAGAAGTGCTCTTTTTACACAGTATTTTCGTGTTGAAAGGGCACTGATTTACTTGCTGAGATAGCAAGCGCGCCATTTTCTGAATTTTCTTACCATATCTTGATAGAACGAAATCCTCCTTACAACGAATTTTTCCAGGAATTAATCAATTTTGTTATATCCAGGTTTAACTGTACTAACTCCCAAGATGTTTATTTTTTTTTTCTTTCTTCACATATACATTACAACATCCGCCATACTTTCCGTGGCATTATCGTCTGTTGGTTCTTATAATGGTGTTTAACAAAGAAAACGAGATCTTAAATTTACTTTGCTTCAATTTTATGCTTATGGCACTTTATTTTCATACCTAAATTTCGAAATGGATGATTAATTCAGTATCTGTAAGACCACTGCATCTTGGGGTGAATTTCGAGCGAGTGTTTTTTAATTTTGAACGCGTGCTTCTGCCAATAAATGTCCCTTCGAAAGAGTCCAGGTCGTCAAAATCAATCCACAGCCTAGTTTATTCCTTTCCTGCCTAAGAAAAATTGCTGATTTGTTCGAAGATTATGATTAGGTGCTATATTTTAATAGGCTTTTGAAAAATTAAACTGTCATAATTTGATTATTTGTCCCAGAAAACACCCACACATATGTGCAGGTTGGACATTTATTCATGTATTGACTGCAGTGAGCAAAGCTCTCAGGATGGCTCTCTCTCTCACACACACACACACACACACACAAAAAAAAAAAAACCTGTTCAGTGCTGCATATGGAACACTTCACAGCGTTGTTTGCCACTCAAGAGACACAGGTATTAGTTGCACCTCTTGCGATCCGTCTAGGTACAAGAAGTGCAACCTGGAAACCTGCGGCGATGTGCAGATGTCGGGACGTGTACTGATGGCCAGTGGTAATCCGAGTCCAATCGCTTATGTTGGGTCCTTTCAGGAGACTGCTCTGCAGATTGACTTTGTGGGGCATTATTGTTGTTGCTTTGCATTCTTTTACTCTTCACTGATGCACAAGGTGCCTCATCTATTCGATACAGCCCATGATTAGGGCACAATTCTCTATGGATCCACCTAGTGGGCTATCCACTTTAGCCTCCACTGATTGGCTCAAAGCATTCAGAACTCTCAACACAAGTGAAAGACTGAATGCGTTTCACCACAATTAATGCTGCCCCCAGATATCTGCTTTTGGACGTACAGCTCGGTGGCTGTGCATGAACTGCAAATATCGTCAGTGATTCGATACTCCCAGTATCCTCTGAAGGACTGGAAAAGTTATGGTACACTAGAATTTCAAGTTTCACAAATAAATTTGATTTGGTGAATAAATGTCAGTATGGATCCACTGAACTGTCTCTTTTAATACAGAAAGAAATAATTCTAGGTTCATTTGATAAGAAGCAGTTAGTCGTTAGTGTATACATAGGCTTTTTAAAAGCATTTAATGTTAAATTATGATACACTTCTAGAAAAACTTCATAGTTTTGAAATCAGAGGTATACTACTCTCGCTATTGACTTCCTACCTGCAGCACCACAGGCAGTGTGTGCGGATAGGGGTAGCATATCACCTCTAAAAACTACGAGCACAGGAGTACCTCAGGGGAGTATTCTAGGGCCACTTCTGTTTAATCAATAAGTAACCGATATTGGTAAAGTTAGTACCCAACCGAAGTACGTTGTATAGGGCATCCCAAATATCATGCAGCACGATATAAAAAAGAAAAGAACG